TCACTTCTCTTTTTTCTCCACTCTACATCATTTGCTCAGATGATTATCTCCAAAAACTGGGCTAAGCAGCCCCTTGAAGAAAGAAATGCTGTTCTGTTATTTGTCTTAGCTCGCAGTCCTGTTATTACGTGTACTTTTATTTTTCCCCTTGTGGCATGTAGATTTCTGCTGTTCACCCAATGGCTCAAACTAATACTTTTTCTGATACTGGAATGCAGGGAGTCCAATTTCATCCTGAAAGCATCATCACAACTGAAGGCAAAACAATAGTTCGTAATTTTATTAAATTGATAGAGAAAAATGAAGCTGAATCTTATTAGATACAGCCTCACAATATTTCCAAAATCAGGAGCATTATTTCTGTGTACTACAACGGTCAAATCTAGGTGTACAAGATTATGGACCTTATTTGCTTCTTACTAGCAGAAATTTGAGAATGTTTTGAATTATAAATAAATAAAATGCTCCTTTGTGCTGTGAAATAGGATGAGTCATTTTTTGGTTTTGGAGTCTCGGTCAGTGCAGCTTCGTAATATCCAACCAATTGGATTTGAAAAAAATTAGATTATTCACTTTGATACCATGTCATGTAGGTTGGATTGGACCGGACTTTTGCTATTTTAGTGCAATCTTTTGAAGCCCCTGTTTGATGGCAATTATTTGAAAAGTCATTTTNTTGTAATCATTCTCTCCCACTGTTTGCTGTGCATGTTTATTTTTCTATGTTAATTCTGTTTTGTGTGGATAATGTGTATAATTGGTTGGAGAGTACAAAGAATTTCTTCTGCAATATAGTAATGTGCTTCAATAGTCTGCCTTCGTTCTTCAATTCTCCTTGTCGAAGCAATGCAAGTAATCAGAAATATAGTGTTGTCAGAATCTGTATGGCGATGTCTATACAAGTCTCCAACCATTATGCACAATCATTAATGCTTCACTTCTCTTTTTTCTCCACTCTACATCATTTGCTCAGATGATTATCTCCAAAAACTGGGCTAAGCAGCCCCTTGAAGAAAGAAATGCTGTTCTGTTATTTGTCTTAGCTCGCAGTCCTGTTATTACGTGTACTTTTATTTTTCCCCTTGTGGCATGTAGATTTCTGCTGTTCACCCAATGGCTCAAACTAATACTTTTTCTGATACTGGAATGCAGGGAGTCCAATTTCATCCTGAAAGCATCATCACAACTGAAGGCAAAACAATAGTTCGTAATTTTATTAAATTGATAGAGAAAAATGAAGCTGAATCTTATTAGATACAGCCTCACAATATTTCCAAAATCAGGAGCATTATTTCTGTGTACTACAACGGTCAAATCTAGGTGTACAAGATTATGGACCTTATTTGCTTCTTACTAGCAGAAATTTGAGAATGTTTTGAATTATAAATAAATAAAATGCTCCTTTGTGCTGTGAAATAGGATGAGTCATTTTTTGGTTTTGGAGTCTCGGTCAGTGCAGCTTCGTAATATCCAACCAATTGGATTTGAAAAAAATTAGATTATTCACTTTGATACCATGTCATGTAGGTTGGATTGGACCGGACTTTTGCTATTTTAGTGCAATCTTTTGAAGCCCCTGTTTGATGGCAATTATTTGAAAAGTCATTTTTTTTACATGCTCATTTTCAGTCAGATTCACACAATAAAATATTCTGTACATAAATTCAAATTTTTTTCGTACGTTTTAACAACACAATCATGTTACATGTACATCTATACTTATATCAACACATCATGTATATGTATATCTTTTACATTACTGTTTACATTGTGTTACGTGGTAACACATCATTGAATAGTTAAAAAAAACACTTTCAGTCCACAAATTTTTGAAAACAAAGAGGATGTCATCTTCAATGTAAGGATAAGATGTGCAAGTAGCATTATTGATATCACAATATCAAAAGGGAAAATTGTGGTCGTGGTCCCAAACTTTTCATTTTGTTGCAGATTATACTCAAAACTTTTATTTTTGAGGTCGAAGTCCAAAACCTTTATATGTAGTTGCAGCGTCGGTCCCAAGCTTTTAATTCCGTCCATAAAACTGCTATTCAACGTTTCTACAGTAATTTTGACTCGAAAAAATTGCGACGCTGGTCCCAAACCTTTCATTTTGTTGCAGATTACACCCAAACCTTTAATTTTTGCTGTCGAATGCTAGGGGTACATCACCATTCATACAAAGGTTCACATAATAACACGTGGTAGCTGATCCAACCTTTAATTCAAATTTTATACTTATACATCAATAAGTAGATGACTGCCACATCTACATTATGTGAACCACTATGTCATTGGTAATGTACCTCTAGCATTTTTAAACCTTTATATATAATTACAGTGTTAGTTCATTTCACGCATTCCGTCTATAAAATCGTCAATTAACGTTCAAACGGTAATATTAACTCAAATGACATCTTAATTGATAGGTAAAATTGTCAAAACAAGTTATCCAAAAAAA